AAAAACACATATATATATATATATATATATATATATATATATATATATATATATATATAATTTCCCAATAGACAGTAATACATTATTATCTATACAGATGCTGTAAACACATTAATTAGTGTTTGTTACATCACCTGCACACTGCACTCCATAGTGAGATAAATTGAGACCCGTCATGACATTTCAAATTTAACATACGTATATGCATGACTTCTAATAATTCATATTGATTCAAAGTACTGTTTAATTTTAGAAACCACTGACTAAACAAAAGAAAAATAGATGTCAACTCTTTTTTGTAGAAGGGAATTTTATTAAAATGAAAAGCTGGGAAACACAGCCATGAATAAGATATGATATCCTCCAAAACAGAAAAGGAAACATATAGAGAACTTGAAAAGATCATGAAAGCTGCAATACTGCCCGATCCCTGTTCATATCTGAAACAGCAACCCTTCAGAAACAGACACAAACAGCATACTAAAGAAAGGCCATATACACAAGTACACAACACATCCCATTCAAAGGCCAGAGAAACAGCTTTACAAAAGTGATTAAAGCTTCATAAACTAAACGATTTTAGCCTCCTTATATGAACTACCAAACAAAATATACCATAAAAACTCCATAAGCTAAAAGAATATTTTAGCCTCCTTGATGTTGCCAAAGGATTAGATGTATCTTGATTTTTATGAAGCTACCATATACCAGTCTATTAGAGCTTTCACAATATGAATTTCATTAGAAGTTGTGATTAGTGGGATACTTCAGAATATAACAAATTATAATAATAACAAGGAATGTGTTGCAAGGCAGGAGGGTAAAGTATATGTTTACCGAGCTCCCTTTGCAAGAGCGTCTGATGCAGGTTGTGGTCTTCCACACTCCATGTACAATTCAGATGCCCTTCGATAGAAGTCCCCAACTTCTTGCCAGTTGCTTAGATCCTTTGCCAGAGCAGCAGCAGATTCCAAGTGCTTAGCTGCATCCCAAGGTCTGGTTTACCAGTCAAGGAAAGACAGACAGAGACAGTTTAACACAGCGAGTCTAATAACATCATAGAGTACCATGATATTTTTTTCTCCTTAATGAACAAAATGAAGGAGATAAGTATAATCATATCATATAAGGATACGAAGCAAGCATCTCTTGTCCTTTGGAAGCTTTCTCATATGCAATTTTGGCGTTCACATAGTCCCTGGCAACTCTAAACCCATTAGCTGCAACATAATATGAGTTTAGCAGATTTACCAATAAGGCAATAACCAAAATTTCATTTGTAACTCAAATTTATTTGCACGAACAATTAAACCTAAGGAAGCTTGAATACTTTACCCGCCTGCTCGTAAAGAACAGTAGCACTTTTCCAATCTGCATTCCACCTCGTGAGACTGAGTCTTGTTCTGCAGTGAAAAAGAAATATAAGGCAAACACAGTTCATGAAAAGATAAACAACAGATGAACTAATACATGCCCTAGTATCAATTGGCTTAACCACAGTTAAATCGTATCGATAATAAGCTAAAAAATAAAAATCAAAGTAATGTAGCGCTCAAGCACAAAGGTAATCGATCATGATCAGTATGATCCAAACAGTAATTAGGACAAATTAACCTAAGAAACAAATTGTATGCTGCAAGAGAATCGCATATTTTATATTTCCCAACGATCAACACGGAGAAGAACGCACACGATGAAAAAAAAAAAACCTAGTTGCTTCAAAATCGACAGTGGCATTTGGAAATGTGGCATTGATTTGAATAAATAAGGAAAAGGAAAATTGTGATGTGAATAAAGAGGAAATGAAAGAGAAGATGAACAGACAGCTTATCGGCTTTGGAGATCAACTTGTTGGGATCAGAAGCCGCCATGGTGGGACGATTGCGTCTTCTGCAGTCCCTCCGATTCAAGTGTGCGAGCTCACGCTGCTAACATGCCCGTCTGGGTCCACTCACAACCTGCCACGTGGCACACCTTTATGTCAAGGATCAAACAAATAAACAAATAAATAAACGGAAAATTACCCTGTTCGGTCCTCTAACAGTCTAACAAATGTTATGATTATGACCCGATCTCTATCAAAGAAAATGAAGTTAGAATTTAGTTTTAAAAAATTAATCAATGGTCTATGTATAATTCATTTTGCACAATATATTTTCGATTTTCGGAAGTTTATTGAAGTAATTTTATTTGATGGTTTGACTAATAAAGGACTAAGGATTTGATTTTTGTTTTCTTCTAGACCAAATCATCGTTTAAGAAATTGAATTATGATTTCTAAAAGTTAACTATGTATCACTTTATTTTGTTTTTTTCTTTTCTTTTACATTCACATTATTATGATTCAAATTCCTTTAGGTGAAATGCTTTGTTTAGATGGAGAATTTACAAAGAATTTAAAATCCAAGCATTTGTAAAATTCCTTAAAATAGTATAATTTCAAATTCTCCCAAAAAAGTAAGAATTTGAAATTTTTCATATTTATTTTTCTTATTTCACTTATATATTTTTATCTTATCTCTTATCTATTCATTCTTTTAATTATTGAATATTCAAAAAAATATTTTTAAATTATTAAATATTATAAATATTAATTTTTAAATTATTAAATATTTTAAAATTGGTTAATATTTTATTTTTATAAAATTTAATTTAAAAATATCAACATATGAATATATTTTTAAAATCAATTTTACCATGGTGGAGTCAAATTACCATATCCAAACTAAAAATTTAAAATTTTAAAAATTTGCAATTGACTTATCTAAACAAAATATTTTTAGAATGATAGAAATTGAAATCAAAGAAATTCAAATATCAAAAATTTTAAATTCCTTGAATTTGTAAAATCCCTCATCCAAACACACCTTAAAGGAGACCTAACAAAATCCACTCCAAGAGTTTCACACCTATTCAAGGAGGGTTTTCAACTCGCAATTTTTTTTTACTTAAATGGGATCTTGAACTTTCAAATAATACCTTCTCTTATAGTCCTAAGTCAATTAACATGTTTTAATACCTACAACATTCTCAAAATCAACATCCAAACATATGTCATCTCTATACATTACTACAAGTCAATGCATATAGAGATCAAATCATACCAAATCATAATTATCCTACCAATGTTATACATCTCATTCAAGGCTAGCATACCATTGTTCAATGACTTATTCAATAATAGCATACCAATACCTATGTAACACTCCAACCATGTAATTTTTAGCATATCAATCATACATGGCATATGAATGTTTATCACCATCATACATCATTCAACATGCAATATATTCACATATTTTATTCATATTCACCAATGCATTCATCAAATAACATGAATTCAACAACATAAATTGCATCCAACACAACTTATCTCGTGCCCAACACCACTAAAGCAGAGAACTTTATGCCTTGTCCACATTTGGTGTCACTGAAATGACGTCCAACGTGAATGGGGTAGAAAGCTCTTGGGACCTCACACCTAGCGTGGCAAAATCCACATCCAGCCTTATATCAAGCAAATAACCTCTACTTAACTCATGCTTTGTGTCATCTCTTTAACGTCTGACATTGTCAAGGCATAGAGTCTTTGTCTTGATTACGCTTGGCGCCACCCAAATAAGACCTAACTTCACCAAGTTAGAGACTTTCTATTTTTCTCAGGCCCGATGCCACAAAGGCGCGCTTGAAATCATATTAGAAATCTACGGATACAAACTTCAAAAATTGCCTCAATACACCTGAAATCCAGAAGAACCAAGCATACAATGCACTTAATAGCTTTTACTTGTCATTCAAAGCCACATCCTAGGTTCAAATAAAACATGCAACTAAATTTGCATCATTCACCAAATTCACCCCCTAACTCAAAACACCAAAAACTCAACATGCACAAAAATCCCACCTCAAATTCATCAAACAACCAAGAATTTATGGAAACCTAAGCATGTACAACTCAACAATTCAACAAGAATCAAATCTAACTTCCCTTGCCTTACAATCAATTCGAAAAAGAGGAAGAAGGAAGTAGAAACTCTAAGCTTCAAGCACTACAAAAAAAAGTCAATTTAGCCACCAAAATTAGCGACCAATTTTTTTCCGTCCCTAATAGCGACATAATTAGCGATCGAATCTGATTTGGTTGTAAATTTTATTTAGCGATCAAATTTTTTAGTGGCAAATAATTGGTCGCTAAATCGGTCACTAAAATAATAATTGTTGATTAAAATAGCGAACGAACAATTTCGGTCGCTAAAAAAATAAAAAAATATTATTATAATAATTTTAGCGACCAAATTAAAATCGGTCGCTAAAAAAATAAAAATATTATTATTCATAATAATTTTAGCGACCAAATTAAAATCGGTCGCTAAAAAAATAAAAAAAATTATTATTTATAATAATTTTAGCGACTAAATTAAAATTGGTCGCTCAAAAAATAAAAATATTATTATTTATAATAATTTTAGCGACCAAATTAAAATCGGTCGCTAAAAAAATAAAAAAATAATATTATTTATAATAATTTTAGCGATAAAATTAAAATCAGTCGCTAAAATAATAAAAGTATTATTATTTATAATAATGTTAGCAACCAAATTAAAATTGGTCACTAAAAAAATAAAAAA